CTAGGCTGGTGATAAATTCCTGGCCTCAAGCGATCTTCCTGCCTCATTGTGGTTTTGATTTGAATTTCCCTCATCATGAGTGATGTTGAGCTTCTGTTCATATACTTGTTGTCCATTTGTCTGACTTCTTTGACAAATGTCTATTCAGGTCATTTGCCCAGCTTTTTTTTTTTTTTTTGAGACAGAGTCTCACCATGTCTCCCAAGCTGGAGTGCAATGGCACGATGTCGGCCCACTGCAACCTCCACCTCCTGGGTTCAAACGATTCTCCTGTCTCAGCCTCCCAAGTAGCTAGGATTACAGGCGCCTGCCACGATGCCTGGCTAATTTTTGTATTTTTCCTAGAGACGGGGTTTCATCATGTTGGCCAGGCTGGTCTCAAACTCCTGACCTCATGATCCGCCCACCTCGGCCTCCCAAAGTGCTGGGAATACAGGCATGAGCCACCACGCCTGGCCTGCCCAGTTTTTAACTGTGTTTTTGTTTGTTTGTTTGTTTTGCTATTGAGTTGTATGAGTTCCTTATATATTTTGGATATTAATCTCTTACCACATAGTGTAAAGTTTGTAAGCATTTTCTCCTGAAGGTTGCCACTTCATTTTGTTGATGGTTTCCTTTCCTGTGCAGAAGCCTTTTAGTTTGATGTAGCCCACCTGTTTATTTCTGCTTTTGTTGCTTTTTTTTTTTTTGGATACAGAGTCTCGCTCTGTTAACACAGGCTGGAGTGCAGTGGTGCGATCTCAGCTCACTGCAGACTCCACCTTCTGAGGTTGGGATCCCTCCTGAGCTGGGAATGCAGGCGTGCGCCACCACGCCTGGCTAATTTTTGTATTTGTAATAGGGACAGGCTTTCACCATGTTGGTCAGGCTGATCTAGAACTCCTGACCTCATGATCCACCCACCTTGGCCTCCCAAAGTGCTGGGATTACAGGCATGAGCCACCGCACCCAGCCTGTTGCCTTTTCTTTTGGTGTCATATTCAAAATGTAATTGCCAAGACCAATGTCAAGATTTTTCCCTGTGTTTTCTTCTAGGAGTTTTGTGCTTTCTTTTTCTTTCTTTTCTTTTCTTTTTCCTTCCTTCCCTTTCCTTTCCTTTCCTTTCCTTCCCTTCCCCTTCCCCTTCCCCTTCCCCTTTCTTTTTTTTTTTTTTTTTTTTTTGCGGATTCTCGCTGTGTTGCCCAGACCGGAGTGCAGTGGCGCGATCTTGGCTCTCTGCGACTTCTGCCTCTAAGGTTCAAGCTATTCTCCTGCCTCAGCTGCCTGAGTAGCTGGGATTACAGGTGCACACCACCACACCTGGCTAATTTTTATATTTTCAGTAGAGATGGGGTTTCACCATGTTGGCCAGGTTGGTCTCGAACTCCTGACTTCAGGTAATCTGCCCACCTCAGCCTCCCAAAGTGCTGGGATTACAGGTGTGAGCCACCGCACCCGGCCTGAGTTTTATGCTTTCAGTGTATTTCTTACATTTCGATTTTTAGTCACTTTCCAGTTAATTTTTGTGTATAGTATAAGACAAGGGTACAATTTCATTCTTTTGCATGTGGATGTCCAGGTTTTCCAATGCCATTTATTGAAGACTATCCTTACCTCAGTGTTTTTGTTTTTGTTTTTTGAGGCAGGGTCTTGCTCTGCTGGCCAGGCTGGAGTGTAGTGGCGCCATCTCCACTCACTGCAACCTCCACCTCCTGGGTTCAAGCAGTTCTCCCACTTCAGCCTCCTGAGTAACTGGGACTACAGGCACATGTGCCTGGCTATTTTTTGTATTTTTTGATAGAGATGGGGTTTCACCATTTTGGCCAGGCTGCTTCAGGGTGTATTTTTGGAACTCTTGTCAAAAGATTAGTTGACCATATATGCATGGGTTTATTTCTAGGCTCTCTTTTCTATTCCCTTGATGTATTTTTATGTCTGTACCATACTGTTTTGATTACTATAGCTTTGTACTATACTTTCAAATCAGGAAATGTGATGCCTTTTAAGCTTTGTTCTTATTTTTCAAGATTGCTTTACCTATTTGGGGTCTTTTGTGGTTCTGTGTGAATTTTAGGATTTTTTTTCTATTTTTGTGGAAAATGTCATTGGAATTTTGATGGAGATTGCATTAAATCTGTAGATTTCTTTAGGTAGTATGGACATTTTAACAATATTCTTACTATCCATGGACACAGATTTTTAATGTTTATTTCTGTCTTCTCTAGTTGTTTTCATCAGTGTCTTACAGTTTAAATGTACAGATCTTTCACCTCCTTTGTTAAATTTATTCCTAAGTATTTTATTCTTTTTGATGCTATTGTAAATTAGGATTGTTTTCTTAACTTTTTTTTGGATAGTTAGTGAATAGAAATGCAACTGATTTTAGCATGTTGATGTTGTATTCTACAACTTTGTTATATTTGCTTATTCTAACAGTTGTTTGGTTGAGTTAGGGTATTTTCTCTCTTTTCTTTTTTTTTTTTTGAAACAGAGTCTCGCAGTCTCACACTGTCGCCTAGGCTGGAGTGCAGTGGCGTGATTGCGGCTCACTGCAAGCTCCGCCTCCTGGGTTCGCGCCATTCTCCTGCCTCAGCCTCCTGAGTAGCTGGGACTATAGGCACCCGCCACCATGCCCGGCTAATTTTTTTGTATTTTTAGTAGAGACGGGGTTTCACCAGTCAGGATGGTCTCGATCTCCTGACCTCGTGATCTGCCCACCTCAGCCTCCCAAGTAGCTGGGATTACAAGCGTGAGCTACCACGCCTGGCTGATTTTTAGTAGAGACAGGGTTTCACCACGTTGGCCAGACTGGTCTCGAATTCCTGACCTCAAGTAATCTGCTCACCTCGGCCTCCCAAAGTAGTGGGATTATAGGCATGAGCCACCGTGCCCGGCCCACCCTTCCTTGTTTTATTAGGCCCTATTTGTTCTTCTACCTGTTTTTGAGAATCTATTACACCCATTAACAAATCTACCACTTTCCTTAAAAGAGAGGTGTTACAGTTAGTGGTACCTTGAGAACTTAACATTTCACCTTACTGTGTAGAGAGTTTAGGCACTGCCCTAGCTTCTGCAGTGTAAAAATTTATCTGCCTGGCCACGCGCAGTGGCTCACGCCTGTAATGCCAGCACTTTGGGAAAGGCCGAGGCAGGTGGATCACGAGGTCAGGAGATCGAGACCATCCTGGCTAACACAGTGAAATCCCATCTCTACTAAAAAAAAAAAACAAAAAAATTAGCCGGGCGTGGTGGCAGGCACCTGTATTCCCAGCTACTTGGGAGGCTGAGGCAGGAGAATGGTGTGAACCTGGGAGGCGGAGCTTGCAGTGAGCTGAGATTGTGCCACTGCACTCCAGCCTGGGCAACAGAGCAAGACTCCGTCTCAAAAAAAAAAAAAAGGGAACACTCATTTACTGTCTTTATTACTGATTGTTCTTTTTGCTTATGTTGGATTACAAGACCGCATTTTTATTTTTTTTCTTAACGTGATTTTATTTGTTTAAACTTCCAGGAATTCTTTGTCTTTCCTTATGACCTTTCTATGTGTTTTATGACTCCTGTGGACTTTTTCTAGTATTTATATTCTGTCCTTTCAGTGGGATTTTGGTGGGGAGAATGTCATTGTTTGGACTCATTTTGCCATCATGAACTATAAGTTGCAGTTTGTTTAGAGTTAGAGAATGCTTCATTGTTGAATGACAGTGAATTTAATTAAACAATATTGAGTTTGTAATATACAGGGATTCTGCCACTAAATATTTGAGTTATCACAAGCAGGTTTCTTAATTACTCAAAGTATTGATATCCTTATCTGCAAGATGAGGAATAAGTAAATAAAATAAATAAAGGGAATAATCATATCTGTCTCATAAATTGGTCACAAGCATTATTTGAGATGATACATGTAAAGCTCTTAGTATAGAACCTGGTATACAGTGAGTATACTCAGTAAATGTTATTTGTTAAGTAGTGACTATTCAAAATAGTTATCTAAAAAACAAATCAAGCCAGGTGCGGTGTCTCATGCCCATGATCCCAGCACTTTGGGAGGCCGAGGTGGGTGGATCACCCAAGGTCAGGAGTTTGAGACCAGCCTGACCAACATGGTGAAACCCCATCTCTACTAAAAATACAAAAAGTAGCTGGGCTTGGTGTCAGGCCCCTGTGATAACAGCTACTCGGGAGGCTGAGTCAGAAGAATCTCTTGAACCCAGGAGGCAGAGGTTGCCCTCCAGCCTGGATGACAGAGTAAGACTCAGTCTAAAAAACAAAACAAAAAAAATAAGGAACTTTTTCAGAAAGCCTTTTAGAAGAGATATTAGTAAACAGATGCTAAGTGGCTGGCTAAACGATATCAAAACTCTTGAATCAAGACTGATTCTGGGCCGGGCGCAGTGGCTCACGCCTATAACCCTAGCACTTTGGGAGGCCGAGACGGGCGCATACGAGGTCAGATCGAGACCATCCTGGCTAACACGGTGAAACCCCGTCTCTACTAAAAATACAAAAAAATTAGCCGGGCATGGTGGCGGGCGCCTGTAGTCCCAGCTACTCAGGAGGCTGAGGCAGGAGAATGGTGTGAACCCGGGAGGCAGAGCTCTCAGTGAGCCGAGATCGCACCACTGCATTCCAGCCTGGACGACAGAGCGAGACTCCGTCTCAAAACAAAAACAAACAAAAAAAAAACTGATTCTGATTAAAAAAACCTCTTAACACATTCTTTCCTCTCAGTTTAGTTAGGACTAAGAGTTATGTAGCAGTAATAAACCTATCCTGTAATAGATTTCTCTTAGGATTGGTTTGATAGTTGTATTATAATTGTATTATTTATAAAATTAATTTATTAGTGTATTCATTAATTAACCTAAGTCCTTTAGTAGTTTTCAGAATATTTTTCTCAAATTTTTTCTTATGTCAATTCGAGTGTTAACATGCTAATTCAGGGTTTGTTGCCATTTGTATCCTGACAGTGTATTACTGTTTATACTTTTAAGAGTAAAATATTTTATTTCTTATTACAGCGGAATGGCCAAAGACTATGACAGGTCTTCCCAGCACATCAGGAACAACTGCCAGTGTGGTCATCATACGGGGCATGAAGATGTATGTAGCTCACGTAGGTGACTCAGGGGTGGTTCTTGGAATTCAGGATGACCCAAAGGATGACTTTGTCAGAGCTGTGGAGGTGACACAGGACCATAAGCCAGAACTTCCCAAGGAAAGAGAACGAATCGAAGGACTTGGCGGGAGGTAACATTCTGTTGTTTTCTCTTTCCTGTCTTGGTTCTAATTTAGTCCTTTTATACTTTACTAATGAAATTGACCTACTACTCTCCCTTTTATTGAAGTTACTTTCTTAGTATTACAGGTTTTTTAGTTTGTCTGATGTAGTACCCATGTATGTGCATTCATGTTTTTCTCATTATTATGAATTGACTGTTTTATTTCTGATAATGACTCTAATAGGAAATAATATCTCAGTGGGCCTCAAGGAAACAACACAATACAAGGTTTTACTGAAAACCTTTCACATGACTTTCAGATTCTAGACAGAACAGCTCTTGGAGTTCCAGAGTAGAACACTTTGAATCTGGCTGAGGGAAAAAGATTAAGTTAGAATTAACCTTCAGCTTTTTTCATTGATTTCAGATTTACTGCAAACCTTTCCAATTATTTATTTATTTGTTTTTTTGAGACGGAGTCTCGCTCAGTCGCCCAGGCTGGAGTGCAGTGGTACAATCTCGGCTCACTGCAAGCTCCGCCTCCCGGGTTCACGCCATTCTCCTGCCTCAGCCTCCCAAGTAGCTGGGACTACAGGCGCCTGCCGTCACGCCCAGCTAATTTTTTGCATTTTTAGTAGAGATGGGGTTTCACCGTGTTAGCCAGGATGGTCTCGATCTCCTGACCTCATGATCCGCCCGCCTCGGCCTCCCAAAGTGCTGGGATTACAGGCGTGAGCCACCACGCCCGGCCCAATTATTTTTTGTTTGTTTGTTTGAACTTAGTGTTTCAATGTGTAGGTAATTTGTAAACTAGGAACTGAAATTGATTTCAGTATTATATTTTTATAATTCAAACTTAAATGAAAGATTATTCTAAAAAGAGAGTGAATAACATGAGAAAATTTAAAAATTATCTCAATACTAATTTTTAAAAATTGAGGGTATGAGGCAAGTTGAGTAGAATCCAGTGTTTTCTAAATAATCGTTGTAACTGAAGCCTTCCCATGATATCATTACTTGCCTCCTCTTTTTTGCTTTTATTAAATCAAAATTGGTCTTTTGCAGAGAAATGACAAGCTAAAGAAAATAATTAGCATCTGGCCAGGCACTGTGGCTCACGCCCGTAATCCCAGCACTTTGGGAGGCTGAGGCGGGTGGATCACCTGAGGTCAGGAGTTCAAGACCAGCCTGACCAACATGGAGAAACCCCATCTCTACTAAAAATACAAAATTAGCTGAGTGTGGTGGCGCATGCCTGTAATCCCAGAGACTGAGGCAGGAGAATCACTTGAACCCAGGAGGTGGAGGTTGTGGTGAGCTGAGATTGCACCATTGCACTCCAGCCTGGGCAACAAGAGCAGAACGCCATCTCACAAAAGAAAAGAAAAGAATTAGCATCCTTAAACTATAAGGAGTTCAACAAATTAATACAGTACTAAAGTACGAGGCCGGGCGCGGTGGCTCACACCTATAATCCTAGCACTTTGGGAGACCGAGGCAGGTAGATTGCCTGAGCTCAGGAGTTCGAAACCAGCCTGGGGAACATGGTGAAACCCCATCTCTGCTAAAGTACAAAAGAAATTAGCCAGGCGTGGCAGCGTGCGCCTGTAGTCCCAACTACTTGGGAGGCTGAGGCAAGAGAATTGCTTGAACCCAGGAGATGGAGGTTGCAGTGAGCCGAGATCACGCCACTGCACTCCAGCCTGGGCGACAGAGTGAGACTCCGTCTCTTAAAAAAATAATAATAATAAATAAAATAAAGTACTAAAATGCATGGCACCCTGGATAGGTGGATAAAGGAAAGTTTGAACAACAAAAAAATGCAAAACAGTAGTAAACATTTGGGGAAATAAAAGTTAAATATTAAAATGAAACTCCATTTCCTGTTGTTAGATTAGCAAAGATTAAAAAAAAAAAAGGCCGGGCGCGGTGGCTCAAGCCTGTAATCCCAGCACTTTGGGAGGCCGAGACGGGCGGATCACGAGGTCAGGAGATCGAGACCATCCCGGCTGACACAGTGAAACCCCGTCTCTACTAAAAAATACAAAAAAACTAGCCGGGCGAGGTGGCGGGCGCTTGTAGTCCCAGCTACTCGGGAGGCTGAGGCAGGAGAATGGCGTGAACCCGGGAGGCGGAGCTTGCAGTGAGCCAAGATCACACCACTGCACACCAGCCTGGGCGGCAGAGCGAGACTCTGTCTCAAAAAAAAAAAAAAAAAAAAAAAAAAAAAGAGATTCCTCTCAATATTTTTGTTGAAATGGTTACCCTGTTGATAAGATTATAAATTGGTACTACCGCCCGGGCGCGGTGGCTCATGCCTGTAATCCCAGCACTTTGGGAGGCCGAGGTGGGCGGATCGTGAGGTCAGGAGTTCGAGACCATCCTGACTAACATGGTGAAACCCGTCTCTACTAAAAAATACAAAAAATTAGCCGGGCGTGGTGGTGGCGCCTGTAGTCCCAGCTACTCGGGAGGCTGAGGCAGGAGAATGGCGTGAACCCGGGAGGCGGAGCTTGCAGTGAGCCGAGATCGCGCCACCGCACTCCAGCCTGGGCGACAGAGCCAGACTTCGTCTTAAAAAAAATAAATTGGTACTACCTATATAGAAAATAATACATACCAGTAGCTTTAAATGTTTCGGGAATCTATTCTAAAGAAGAAATCTGAACTGTGGACAAAAATATCTGAATAGAGTTATTGATTGCAGCATTTTTAATGACTGTTAGAGTCCGGAAGTAACTTGAAGGCCCAACAGCTAGAGAATAGTTAAGTATATTTAGCAACATATTCATAATATTAAAATATTATTAATTAAATTTTTAATAAATTAATTCGTAATTAAAAATAACATTTATAGATAAGTTTATAAAACTCATGATGTTTTGAAATTTTTCCAAGTAAAGGTAGAGAGAGTAATATGAACTTCCATGTATATGGGGAAGGTTTAATGATACGGGAAAATGTTTATGGTCACAAAAAAGCAGGATATAAAATTACATTTCTAGTGTTACCTCAGCAATGCAGAGACATGGGAATAAGATAAATATTCTAAATTTTTATAAATGAGTGATGAGATTTTATACCACACGTTTATTTTTATTTTTGTTTTTTTTTTTTTTTTTGAGACGGAGTCTCACACTGTCGCCCAGGCTGCAGTGCAGTGGCGCGATCTCTGCTGACTGCAAGCTCCGCCCGCCGTTTCACGCCATTCTCCTGCCTCAGCCTCTCGAGTAGCTGGGACTACAGGCTCCCGCCACCACGCCCGGCTAATTTTTTGTGTTTTTAGTAGAGACGGGGTTTCACCGTGTTAGCCAGGATGGTCTCGATCTCCTGACCTCGTGGTCTGCCCGCCTCGGCCTCCCAAAGTGCTGGGATTACAGGTGTGAGCCACTGCGCCGGGTCTTATTTATTTATTTATTTATTTATTTATTTATTTAGAAACGGAGAGTTTTGCTCTTGCTGCCCAGGCTGGAGTGCAATGGCGTCATCTCGGCTCCCTGCAACCTCTGCCTCCCGGGTTCACACAATTATCCTGCCTCATGCGCTTCCATGCCCGTCTAATTTTGTAGTTTTACTAGAGACGGGGATTCTCCATGTTGGTCAGGCTGGTCTCAAACTGCTGACCTGAGGTGATCCGCCTGCCTCGGCCTCCCAAAGTGCTGGGATTACAGACGTGAGCTACCGCACCCGGTCATTTTTATTTTTTTATTTTATTTTATTTTATTTATTTATTTTTTTGAGACAGAGTCTCACTCTGTCGCCCAGCTGGAGTGCAGTGGCGCGATCTTGGCTCACTGCAAGCTCCGCCTCCCGGGTTCACGCCATTCTCCTACCTTAGCCTGCCGAGTAGCTGGGACTACAGGCGCCCGCCATGGCGCCCGGCTAATTTTTTTGTATTTTTAGTAGAGACGGGGCTTCACCGTGTTAGATAGGATCGTCTGGCTTCAGTCATGTTTTAATTTGAATTTATCTTATGAGAAATGTTGAATCTTTTTATATATTTAAAAGCCATTTATATTTTTCCTCTGTATTTCTTTTTATTCATTTTGGGGGATTGTTGTTAGCCATTTTTTCCCCCACATTAATGTGTAGGGGCTAGCTGTACATTAAAGAAATTAGTCTAATGTATGTGATGTGAATTTTAGATATTGTTTCCACAGTTTGTCTTTGATTATGCTCCTGGAACTTTTTCCACATGGAAGTTTCTTTTAATGCAGTTAAATTTATTAGTCTCTTCTGTTACAACTTTTTGGGTTTTATGCTATACACACAGTGAAGCTTTTTAATAAAGTCTGCTATATATATTTTCTTTTAGTACAGCAGGAATATTTTTGGTCTTAGAAATCCTGTTTGTTCATTCTGTTTGTTTTTTCATTTTTGAAACATGATCTCACTCTGTTGCCCAGGCTGCAGTGCAGTAGCACAATCATGGCTCACTGCAACCTCAAGTGATCTTCCCATGTCAGTCTCTTGAGAGCTGGGACTACAGGTGCATGTGTGCCACCATGCCAGCTAATTTTCTTTTTCTTTTTTTTGAGACAGAGTCTTGCCCTGTTGCCCAGGCTGGAGTGCAATGGTGCGATCTCCACTCACTGTAACCTCTGCCTCCCAGGTTCAAGCGATTCTCCTGCCCCAGCCTCCTGAGTAGCTGGAATTATAGGCGCCTGCCACCACGGCTTAGCTTTAGTATAAAGACAGGATTTCATCATGTCGGCCAAGCTGGTCTCGAACACCTGACCTCAGGTGATCCGCCTGCCTCGGCCACCCAAAGTGCTGGGATTACAGGCACAAGCCTCTGCACCCGGCCTCTTTTTCTTAAAAAAAAAAAAAAAAAAAAAAAAACGGCCGGGCGTAGTGGCTCCCGCATGTCATCCCAGCACTTTGGGAGGCTGAGGTGGGTGGATCATGAGGTCAGGAATTCGAGACCAGCCTGGCCAACATTGTGAAACCTAGTCTCTACTAAAGATACAAAAAATTAGCCAGGCATAGTGGCATGTGCCTGTAATCCCAGCTACTTGGGAGGTTTGG